TACCTCGGGTCCTGCGGGGCCGGGGTGTTACACATACAATCTGGTATGGTCAAATCACCAATATCTTGCGCTTTGTTCCCATTGAATAATGTATCAAAGTATGACCTCCACCTCTCTTTTATTTCCCCATCCTTCATTAGTACCCTTTGATCGACATCCTTCACACACTTAACTTTTCCGATATCTTGAGTCCTACGGTCACGAAGACTAGCAAGTCTGTAAATATCTTTTTCACCTTCCTTAGAGTCCAGTTTTGCATACAATTCTTTGTTCACTTTTCCTCTTGCTTCCTTTACGACTTTCTTTGCTCTTCTTCTAGCCTCCTTGTACTCCTCTATGTTCTCGTCGCTCCAACTTTTGCCCAATTTCTTATAGCATTCCCTTTTGATCCTTATTGTTTGTTTTACCTCATCATTCCACCAATATGTGTCCTTTTTTGGTAGTAGACATCCTTTAGATTCTCCAAGTATCTCTTTCGCCACTTTGTTAAAGGTGGACTCCATTGATAACCACACATCATCCACATGTGCGTCATTATCAATGGACCATACATCTTCCTCCAACATTTTCTGTGCAAAAGTTTGTTGGAGATTCCCCTCGAGCCTCTACCACTTTATCTTTGGCTCCCCTTGTACCTTGACCCTCCTTCTCTTTTTACCTTGAAAATCAAGCACACACATCCTATGTTGAGTGACAACACTCTCACATGGGATAACCTTACAATCAGTGTAGCTAGTTCTCCAAGTCGTTTGTACTAAAAAGTAGTCAATTTGGGTACTATTAGCTCCACTTCTATAGGTCACAAGGTGAGACTCTCTTTTCTTGAACCAAGTGTTTATCACAGCCAACTCATATGGTGAGGAAAAATCCAGAATGTTCTTCCCCGCTTCATTTCTAGTGCCAAAACCATGTCCGCCATGGATACTCTCAAAACCATCACGACTTGGGCCCACATGCCCGTTGAGGTCGCCTCCTATGACCAGCTTCTCACCCCTTGGCACTCGTCGCTCCTCCTCCTCAAGATCTTCCCAAAATTGTTGAGTGATAGATGCATCCAATCCCACTTGTGGTGCATATGCACTTACCACAATATTGGAATTTCGAAACAAGAAATCAATTTGGATGGGCTTTGCGAATAGGAAGTTTTGGACTTGGGAGGCCTAACATAACTTGGTAATTTTGTGAATTATAAAACTTAGAGATCCGAAGAAAATTAAGAGAGGCGTGCCACTTTACATTTATTTTAAAAAAATTAAACCTTGAGCCAATTAATTTAGCTTAAAAATTTTAAAAGAAGCCTACTCACACAATATACAAGGAAATATTTTTGGGCCTACCCCCCCCCCCCTATTTTCTTGGGCCTAGGGCGGTCACCCATGTTGCACCCCCTAGGGCCGCCCCTGAGTACTCGTATCATATGTTTTCGAGTTGTATATGTAATTTATTAAAAGTTTTCAATCTTTTTGGTAATTTTTTTGAAAATTTTAGATACATGTATTCTGATGGATACACGTATCAATTTCTTTTTACAAAAAACACCCAAAATTTACATAATAAAATTCTTTAAAAATTAAAAAGTAAAAATAAATTTTAATTTGGTTTAATCTCGAACACAATTAAGTATATTTACGAAAAATGTGAGATGCTGGTGGAGATGACTTTGGGAGTATGAAAGACATAAGAGTACTTGAGTTCGCCAACCTTTCCATTGAAGGTCTTTTTTAAAATCGCAAAGCCGGCCATATGGGAAGTTAGCAAAGGCAGTTGCCTTGGACCTCCTTTTTTTGGGGCCCCATATTTAAAAAAAGAAACTTATTAGTAATGTAACTTCCAAAGTAGTGTTTAGTTTAATTTAATTACCAATAAATTGGGTTTGGTCATCTACTATACTGTTGACTGTTCTGCAAAGAAGAGTTAGAAAACGCATTGATTATTGATTACTCAAAGAAGGTAGATGATATATAGGGTGATGTACGCTAGATTTATTTTATTTTTGTTTCTTTAATTTTTTATAATTATGTAATTTTTAATATTTATCTATCACTGTACATATATGGGCCCCTATCCTAATAAATATTTTCAGTTTCTTTTATTAATAGGAAGTAGATTATTTGTTATTATGTTAATTGTTCCTTTTTCTTGATGTTGGTATATATATAAGGCTGACTGTGCGTGTATATAATTTTATTGACTGAATTGTCTTTATTTTTTAGTTTGAATGAAGAAGTATTATTTAATTTGATTTGTGATTTCAATATAATAATTGTATCTGTGATATCATACTCCGTATTATTTTGTTGTTTGTAATTTTTCCAATTTGCAAGTATAATGGTTACAATAGTTAATTAAACAGATACAACATTTTTTGCTATAGTTACAAAAGTTTATACTATCGTATTATTTTTTATCTAGAAATACACTTATATGTGTCATGTTAAATATTGGTGTTATATCTTGTCTAGGGCCTCAAATTAAAAACTCCCTAACCAGCCTTGGAAAGACGATGTTATATCCAGAAATTAGTAGCTCCACTGGAAATATAAATTAGAAGTTCTAGATTTTTATTAGAATATTGTTTTTGATCTCCATTATCCAAGAACTTTGACTACTTGCGCTTTTAATTTCAAAATTGTGGTTGTTTGACTCGTTTCTCATTTTAAATTAATGAATCATGGACTATATTTATATTATGAGATGTATTAATGTATATGAGATAATGAATAAATAAAATTATTTCAAACTGTCTTGATAATGTGAAACGATTCAATGTCATATCGGTAGAGGTCAGAGGATGAAATATGCATATCCGTAGAGATCAGACTAGGCTAGACTTTTGCAATTACAAAATAAACAAAAACCAGATATTTACCAGATCATATCAATTCAAACCATGCGAGAGTTAAAAAGACCAATAGAGAGGACACCAACTAATTTAAGTTCAAGTAAAAACATCTTCAAATCATGCACTTAGGAGAATTTGTTGATTTAATTAGTGCATATTGCCTTCTAAGGAGTTTTTTTCCGTATTAATGCTAATTATAAAAAGTTTTTACGAAAATAGGGTTGGGTTAAAAGTATTTACGGATATACTGCTGGGCTTAACCCTGGTCGGGGTAAGTCGCCCAACCGTCTGGCGACTTATAAGTCGCCCAACCGTCTGGCGACTTATAAGTCGCCCAACCGTTTGGCGACTTACCCATAAATTAAAAAAAATGGTTAAGCTAACCTCGAGAACCCACCAGTCCAGTCCAGTATCGAGAAAGAAAGTTAAAAAAAAGGAAAGAAAAGAGGGGCAAAATTGTCTTTTGAGACCCGCTGAATTTTACGACTATCGTGTCCGCAGGTCACCCGCGCAGGGGGGGGTGCGAATTTTCGGTTCTGAACTAGAAGCCGGAATTCTTGTGTGCGCAGTCCCTCCCGTCCCTCCGGAGGGACCTGAGCAGTCCTCTCTCTCTCTCTCTCTCTCTCTCTCTCTCTCTCTATATATATATATATATATATATATATATATATATATATATATATATATATATATATATATATATATATATATATATATATATATATATATATATATATATATATATATATATATATCGGAGTGACTCATGGAAGCTTTGATTGTAGTGTTGACCTTTGGTGTTGGAGTTTTGAACCTTGAAGTTTGAAGTGGCTCAAAACTAGCTCTTGAAAAAGATAGATGGAAAAGTGTACACTTTCAAGCAAAGGTAGAAAGTGGGTTTCTTTAACTTTCCCACACCTAAACTCCTTGGGGAGCTCTCGCGCACACAAGAATTCCGGCTTCTAGTTCAGAACCGAAAATTCGCACCCCCCCCTGCGCGGGCGACCTGCGGACACGATAGTCGTAAAATTCAGCTGGTCTCAAAAGACAATTTTGCCCCTCTTTTCTTTCCTTTTTTTTTTTTAACTTTCTTTCTCGATACTGGACTGGACTGGTGGGTTCTCGAGGTTAGCTTAACCATTTTTTTTTAATTTATGGGTAAGTCGCCAAACGGTTGGGCGACTTATAAGTCGCCAGACGGTTGGGCGACTTATAAGTCGCCAAACGGTTGGGCGACTTACCCCGACCAGGGTTAAGCCCAGCAGTATATCCGTAAATACTTTTAACCCAACCCTATTTTCGTAAAAACTTAATTAATTAGCATTAATACGGAAAAAAAACTCCCTTCTAAGAGCATCCACATTCATGCTCTCAAAAAAAGCAGATTTTTTTGCCACATCACTGCCACATAAAAAAATCTGAAATAATCTTAAAACCTGTTAAATTGCCTCAACCATCAGCTTTATTTATGAGATTATTTGTGGGACCTTCACCAAAACAAACTATAATTCAAACGTATATAATTTACACACCATCACTATTTTGTAGAATTATTCAAAAAGGCAAAACAAGTTGCCATAAACTTTTCCAACGTTTTATACTTAACATTTAATGTTTTTTCATTGATTTACACGATTGAACAAAAAATTAGGACAAAAATCCCCAAATAATCTAGATTCAATATTTGATACCAGTTTTTTTTGAGAAAATAATCTTTCCAAATAATCTCACTTTCTCATTCATAATCTCAAAGAAAATCATCCACATCATCCAATTATTCCGCAAATAATCTAAACAATGAGGATGCCCTAACTTTTTCTTTAAAAAAATCTTATGTAATTAATAAATTGTCACATTGTAAATATTTATATTGAAGTATACATACTATTTCTGGCGAAATAGTCCATCGGAAAAGGGGTTGTTGACTAGGAATGCAAGAAAATGTTATGTTCATGTAAAAGAATTTACTCGGTACAATTTTTTCCTTAAATATTACGAGTATTGAAATATAACTCGTGGAAAAAATGTTACTATAATTACTCTAATGTAAAATGGGACAACATCATAGTCAAAGTTATTTCAGTATAAAAACAACCATATTTTTATCCATTACTTAATTTCAATGATAAACATATAGTAGTATTTGTCATGATGTGGGTTCAATTTGTAATCCGAATACCAATATAGGATTGACAATAATAGACGCATCTCATGAATGAGTATCGGAGAGGAATAAATGGAATGCACTCCAAAAATTGATCGTACTTATTATTCCAGCGTGCGAGTGAGATCGAAAACATGTACTCATTCATTATCAATCAATATATGCATATTAAAAGTATGCATATATATGTATACGGTATACCCTAGCTAATGATTTCAATAAAAATCTAATTTACGTAGACTTGATATATGTGTATAGATCCGGCCGGCCGGCCAGCGGCCATGATCGATCGGAATTACAGCTAAGGGTACGTGAATCTAAGCAATCACATCGTCTACCTTGCAACTTCTCAACTTAATTGATGCTCTAGTTCTGCTCACCCGGACCACGTTACAGCATTCACTTCTGTCGTTCTGAACAAATAAAACAATAATTCATTCATGAATAAATCCCTTTAATTTTTGCCAAAAAAAACAAGGCAATTAAATGCCTCGGATATATGCTCGAACTATTAACAATTCTGCAAGACTGCAATCAGATTCCTAAACCCAAAGACCTTGCAAACAGGGGCCGACCGTAGTAGATAATAATTTTTAGTGTATATATACGAAAAATAATTTTCGCCCCCTGAAACAATAACTTTTGCCCCAACAAAACTTTGAACCCCCCAAAATAAATTTCCCGGGTCCGCCCCTGCTTGCAAATACACCTCTTGACTCATAGAAATAGAGTAGTCAAGCCCGTTTTACTTACTAGTGCCAATAACTTCTCACACGAAAGTTACCGTTTTACCGGCAGCAACATGTGAAAAAGGTTCCAATTGCTTTATTTAAATGGATCGAGAGGTGTAATTTAAGGTCTTATTGTTCACTTATTTTCCCCTTTTTTCAATTAGAAATAAGTAACTCATTAGAAATTGCTCAATATAGGATCAAATCAGATAAGAAATCCTAAAATAAGACTAATTATGTTTCATACCCTAAACAAGATTTATTTAGTTCAATTAAAAGAATGAAACTTATGAGTGAATGGGTCATATTTTGGAAATGAAATAATTGTGGTCCGGTTTATCAACTAAGTCCTTGTTTTAGTCTATTTAGGGAATTTTCTCTATAGAATAGAAAAGAATAAATGCATATATGTATGTACGTACTTGGAAGCGGGTTGTGGCGGGAGAGATGACTTGAATCCGGGAAATTTGATCAGCGGAACGATTTGGTGTGGTGGCGGAACAGGGGCCCAAACCGCGCTTCCAGGAGCGGAAATAGGTGGTTAGGATCTCATCATTATTATTATTATTATGATGATTATTATTCCCGGACCTGGGGGTGATGAGTTTTTGACGTTTCTTGAGCTTGGCAGTCCTGAGGAAGAAGAAATGAGGAGCCTCGCAAGGGTCGCCGGAGCGGGGGGCGAACGTCGAACATCCAGAAGGGCGGGTTACTGGCCTCCCCCCATGTCAAGAACGTCTCAATGGGGTTCTGGAGGTAGCTCCGTGGCATTCTCCGCTCATAGATCTGAGCAGAGTATCCCCACGACAAGGAAAAGGACCAGTTCAGCGGGCGATGGTAGCAGATCACTTGTTGCATCACTCTGCTCTGGTCCAACTGCGCCGACTTCATTATCCGGTGTGCCGCCTCTGCCCGATCCACAAATGGGAAGATCGGATCCGCCATGTCGAAGTGGTGAAGGGACATTAACGGCACGTTTGGGTGGTACGATAGGAACCCCGATATATCACCCCGCATGTCCAACTACATGTATGCCCCACAAAAGATTACTCAAAACAGGACTATAACATTAATAAAAGGTAGATTTTATGGTACCCATAAGGTACCATACATTTGTCCACATGGACCAATGATAATGTTGCAGTTGAATTATTTAAATCTAAATTAAAAATGATAAAGTAATGTGGTCCAATCAAATGAATAGTAGGTACGGTACCCCATTTAGATACGCTTTCTTTCTAAAATAGGACATATTCAGTATTTTAAGAATAAAACACTAAAATCTTTTAGGAGTGAATGAGTCGTTGATAAAAAATGATGCTCCAAATTAAGAAATTATGATATATTTTATTCTTATTGAAGGATCTATTCTATTAAAACTGATTGGAGGGTGGTAATCGAGTTGGGAAAGTTCCCGAAATAAGAGTAAACATGTTTTGAAATTCAAAAATAGTTTGGTACTAGACATTAACATGACAATATTCATTTCCATTTACTACACAAACTACTTTAAATTTGAATATGTATTACCTATTTTTCTTATTTTAATCCAAATTATAAATATAATAGAGTGCATATGTGAGTCGTATATAGATATAATGTGTATATATACAACTCAAATATATTCGAATAATATACGGATTGAATATATGTATATTCGTATTCGCATTGACATTTATTCGAATAACAAAACTGATTCGTATTCGAATTCGTGTTCGATTATTTTTAATTCGAATCGCGAATTGGATCTAAATTAATGGAATCGTTTACCACCCTACCTAACAGCCCGTTGCTTTTCGGCTTATCAGTCAACATTTTTACCAAACAAGTCACTTTTGTTTTTGCAATAAGTAAGGTTGAGTTACTTTTGTGAGTGAATTGGTAGAAGTTATCTTAGAAGACAAATTTAGCTATATCTCATATAATATTTTATTTATTTTATGGGGTAATTTGAGTTTGCACCTCATTTTATTGTCCAAATTAGACTTTGCACCCCGTTTTTAAAAAACTTTGTTTTTGCACCCCAACCCCATATGAAAAGACAAAAATGACCTCGATCAAGAATATGTTGAAGGTCAACAAAATTGTTAACGGAAGGGCATTTTTGTCTTTTCATATGGGGTTGGGGGGCAAAAACAAAGTTTTTTAAAAACGGGGTGCAAAGTCCAATTTGCACAATAAAATGGGATGCAAACTCAAATTCCCTTATTTTATTTATAAATATATTTTAAATACTCCGTATAATTTTTTTCATAATTCAACACAATCAATCAATTCAGTCACTTTAGTCAGAATTTCAAGGAGAATCAAATAATTTCATAAAGCCATTTGTTGAGTAAAATATGAATAAAGTTTTAAAATGGACTTGAGAAGTTACTACATACGAGAGTAAAACTTGTTGAATGGTACTTTGGGGAGAACAATACCATATGGCAATATGCTATGCAATTATATATAAGAGGATGGGAACGTGCCTGGTGAAAGCCTCTGTGGGGAGAAATGTTAACTCCGAGGTCAGCAACGCAGGACATGGTGGTTTTGTCGGCGCTGGTGAGGTAGGAATATCTCTTCAGGCAATCCATAATCCCATCCGACATAGCCTTTGCCAAGGGATAACTGAGGACAAAGCCAGCCCCCCCAAAGGCCTGGTTGAACGAGAACCAGAAGTTGGAGAGCACAAACTCGGATTGGCCGCCGATGTAGTAATACTTGGTGTGGTCGTAACCGGCCACGAGTTGGACCAGGTTGTCCACCATGAAAATGGTGTCGTCGTCTCCCATCACAACCCACCGCACGCCTTTATTGTCCCCTGCCGCCCTGACGGTCTCCCTTATGCCGTGCACCATACGCGCCACCCGTGCGTCGACGTGTCCCGTCTCTTGCACCACTCGTGTTATGTTCTCAGATATCTTGTAGCGCGGGGAGAGCGGGGACCACGGGAGCAAATCTCCCGTGGGGTTCACGTCAAGGAACAGATACCCTCTCGTGTGATTCGGCCGCCACCATGACTCCACGTACGGTTTGCGGTGGTGCCAGGCTGCCTCGGATCCCACCATCCCGAACATCAGATGCTTCAGGCTGGTCGGAGCATTGGGGTCATCATCGTCTTCTTGAGGAGCTGATGATGACCCCAAATGGTTGCTGTTTGGGGATAATAAAGACACTGAGGATAATGTCCCCTTTGTGGCCGAGTCGGATTTGGAGACAACTTCGGTTGCGTAATCGGCGGGGCAGTTTCGGATGTTTGGGATGAGGACGATGCCGATGAAGAAAATGACCCCAGAGATAAGTAAAGCTTTGCTCAGACCGATGACCAGAGAAGTGCTAGGTGAAGAAGAGGAGGAAGAAGAAGGTGAAGAGGAAGAAGAATTCTTCATCTTAGGAGAGAGTGGAGATCGTTTAGAACCATGTACATTCAGAAACACAACCAAAGTCAACCAGATCCTGGGAACTCGTTGCAATTTTTCTTTTTTAATTTTTTTGGTAGGAGTTGATCGATCTATCACTAGAAAGATGTGATGCGATGGTAGTTGGTTCAGGTAATTTTTGTGGCTGTTCTTGTGGTTCATGTCTTTGACGGATCCGTTAAGTACACTTTACATTACCTACGTACTCATGCATGTTAGCAAGCTAGCTTGTAATTCTAATTTTTCCCAACTTATATAATCAATTTAATCATATAAAAAGTGTAAAAAATTTCCAATTAGGAATGAGTGATGAGTCATACTACAACTACGTACGATAGTATTTCAGAAGAAAACAATCATAATTTTATACTCCCTCCGTCTCCGAAAGAAGTTCCCACTTTCCTTATTTGGATGTCCCTAATTTAAGTTCTCATTTCCTTAAATGGAAAGTTATCTACAACAAAACAGTGCCAAACAGTGTCAAACAGTGCCAAACAGTGTCGAAACAGTGTCAAAATAGTAAAATTTACCCCTGGTAAGTTTACTTGCATAAAAGTGTGTGAAAGTCAAATGTGGAACTTCTTTCGGGGACGGAGGGAGTATATGCATTTTGTGTATATTTTTGTCTTATATAAATACTAAAAAATACTTGACCGACACACCTAGGTCTACATGTATCCTATAAAATTATACTCCCTCCGTCTCATTCAAAGGTTCTTAAATGATAAATTTAATCATCATATATTAAAAATGGCACATTTATAACATCACATTTATCATCAATAATTTCTTTATATTATAAATAACTGTGCCATTTTACAATGAGAACCTTTAAGCGTGACGCAGTTATTACAAACATATCATATCTTTTACCCCCTCTCCTCCCTGTATTCCATACTAAAATCTCCCCATTTCTTCTTCATATCTTAAGATGAAAGCTTTCATCTTTCATCTTCATCATATCTCATCTTCACAATTGATCTCCATATCTATCACCACTCATCTTCATCATTTCCATATCAATCATCTTCTTTTTTCATCATCTTCCATCTTCACCATATCAACTTGTGTCATATCCCATCTTATTTACTTCATCATCAGAGTTGGAGTTAGCAAAAATGTTACTGTTAAAGTAATTGGAGTTCAAGTCACTAGAGATGTTGTCAGAATTATTGTCTTTGCCTTAGTAAAATATTGTTTGTGTCATCCTCACTTAGCATATAATAAAATTTGTTTGTGTGGACATATTAAACTGAAAAATGCTTAATTGTCTGTAAACATGCTTGTACACAGACATTAGTTGTATGTACAAACAACTAATGTCCGTATACAGACACCGGTTTGGGTGTAAATCACATTGATTTGCTTCATTTGCGTGTTTTTTTGCAGAATAATTAGGGCTAGTGATATGAAAGCAACCCTAATAATAGCTAGGTTGCACAAAAACCAATGTCTGTGTAAACATATACATTAGTACGTTTATTATGCGTATAGACAAAAAGTATATACTTATACATTTTTATGCGCGTACACAGACACTGAAAGCAAACCAGTTCTGAATACATACATATTTCTATGTGGCGAACTTTTACAAAATGTTACATATTTTAAGTTTCATTTCCTCCTACATAAAAATTATATTACTATACAATACTACACCGATAAAAAATGCAGCGGACATTCATCCTTAAATTTCTAGTCTTTCCGACGGCTTTTCGGTGACTTTCAAACATTATTCTCCCCCAATGCACAAATAAAAATAAAGGTAAAGATGATGGCAGTACTAGAAAAAACGTTATTTGCTGGGTTATTTTGGCTCATTAGTTGCGGTTTTGAACTGCAACAAATAGGACAACATCAATAGTTAACACTACTATCTTGTTTTGGCTGAGCATATCAATCACAACCACATCATAAAGTACTCCCATTGTTTGTGTTGAGCATATCATTCACAATATATATCCCAATGAACTCGATACTCTAGAACTATTTTCTTCGTTCGCGCAGAGCATGTCTCTCAAGAATAAAAGACTGATCTGGACTCTTACATATCGGGCCTATTGTATCAGCCCATCTTATATCTACATTAGAATAGCCCTTAGTATAAATACGGTAATTTACCCTATTCTATGTATGTTATTCATTCTAAATTTCAGATCATCTTCTTCATCCAAATAGTGCTTCCGCATTCTAAGCTTTTGTTCTAGTTTTGTAATTCTACGTGGTATCATATTAAGTGTCAATAATTTTTATTCTAGCGAACTCAATGCTCTAGAACTATTGTTTTATCCATGTTGAGCATTTCATTTATAACTATTTCCCAAGGAACTCAATGCTCTGGAACTATTGTTTCGTTCGCTCTGAGCACATCTGTCATAGTAGTGACCCAATAATCGTCCTCCATTCATCAACTTGTCTATGGTGAGCACGTCACTCTCACTGTTAACTCAATCCTTTTTTATCTTCTCAAGAAAAATAGTCATTCCCTAGACAAGTAGTAAGCCTTGTTGTGTGGAGAAAAATTCACTTTATTATGTATATATGTATAGTATCTTTTGTAGCTCACGTTGACAAACTCCAGGAAGAATCTATGGAATGTTGAGTGTGAGCAAGAGCTGTTGAAGTTGCTTTCTAAACAACAGACATCTCGTATGAGATTGTTTGAAGTGATGGAAGCTCACAAGGTCACCCATGCTCCTGAATGAGCCAAGGTTCGCACAGAGATTAATGCAGTTAGAAAATAATATATTGATCCCACCTAAAAGAGATTGTAGAGCTTCAATTAGATACCTTGGCCGAAGAAGATAGTATTATCTAAGAGGATGTTCCTCCTTCAAGTTGGGGCACAACCCAAACAACAAGATTTGATATATTAATTGTCCTGAAAGCTAAGCACGATGCCTCATGGATCACTAGTTGGGACTTCTTCTTGAGGCGCTTAACTCAAAGCCTCAGGAGGCTGACCCTTCTCACAGAGATGTTCCCTTTGGTGAGCTCTCCATAGATGAAGATCTTGAATTGGTGATCCCTCGTCTCCATGCCTAAGTTGTTGAGTCGGGAGGATTCCTCTCTTGCCCGTCTCCATGTCTTGGAGAGTGAAGGAGATAGGCTTCCATAATATGGCCTTTATATTATCATGCCCCTCTTTTTTTAGTGCTTGAGTTCTGGGTTATCTACTCGGCGAGTACTCGCTACTCGGCCTCTTACCTTGCAGAGTAGCACCTTAACTCGGTCCGAGTTAATTTTCCGAGTTACTCGCCGAGTACTCGGTGAGTTAGTCAACTCGGTGAGTTAGTCAAATTGGCGAGTACTCGGCTATTACTCGGTATTAAAAAAAAGACATGTGCAAACAAAACCTATGAAATTAATCGCTACTGGTCATCCATTTGGAGCTTCAACTACTGCTGCTACATCATTTGGAGCTGCGACTGCTACTGCCAGGAGCTCCGACCGCTACTGTGAGGAGTTGCGACTGCTACAATGATACTGCAAGGAGCTGTGAGTGCTACAGTGCTACGGCGTTTGTTAAAAAAAATTAAATTTCTTAGTTATTAAGTTTTCCATTGTTAAAATAAATAAATCAATCATGTGATTATCCAAACTACTATAGCCGCAATTTTTTACTATAGAATTCCAAGCTGCTAAGTTTCTTAGTTATTTAGTTCCTTTCATATTAAGCTTTCATTTTTAAATTAATATTTCCTTGGCAGTGTGTATTTTTGGAACTTTAGTCAGAATTGATATCTCCTCTTATTCCCCTTTCCCTTGTCTAATTTCTTATTATCTCCCCCCCTCTCCATCATGATAAATACACACACAAAATCTTTTAATTTATAGTCATGAACTCTGCTCAGTCTGCGTATAGACTCATAGATATTGATTTAGATGACCCGGAAGTGGAAGAGGAAGAATATGTGTGGAATCTGACTACTAAAGATCTATTTGGAGAAGATCTATTTGGGGACATGGAGGATGGAAGAAGGAAATCACGACCTTGAACCCAACGAAGATTAATATCAGACCAACTTATTAGATGATTGACTTCTTTATGACCTTTTCTTTACGACTTTTGCTACTCCATCATTAGGATAATAGGATTTCTATCTTTTTATTCACTTCTATGCATATTAAGACAATTTAAAGACTATTTTAAGACTATTATATTTCTATAATCTCAGGCACCTATATTATTATATTTAATTAATACATGACCGAGTAATCACCGAGTAATCCCGAGTAACCGGTCCTACTCGCTACTCGGCCCTTGACCGAGTAGCTACCGAGTAGCGAGTTAACTACTTAGCTTGAGTTGTTAGAATAGTGTTGAATTTCATGAAAATGATTATTCTAATATATATTGTACTTTTTTCTAATTAACATTGTTGTTAGTATGGCTAATATCGTTATTTTAATAGATGATGATCACGTAGCAGCCATGTCTAGTCTTGACGTGGACAACATGACCATTTTCTTTTGTAGTAGTGCATTATAGTATCACACTGAGCATAAAACATTAAAACTCGGTACATCTCTCTTCCTGAATCTCTCCCCATATGTCAGATATGAACTTTTACCTCAGAGGGGCGACACCAAACACGTCACCATGACTAGAAAGTTACCCTAGACAAAAAGGAACAAGTCATCGTTCCTACGCTACGCACATCACTCAGTAATGAGTTCAGAACCATGCTAAGCGACTGAACCTGATGTCCAGGTCGACACGAGGCACATGAGATTGTAATATGATACTAATTGCTACCATCTTGATTAGATAAGATCAAATGGGGAATGCTTATTTGATAATTGTATATTAATTTGTGTATATGTAACAATGATCAAACGTGTACTCTAATTCTCCGTATAATTTATATCAAGTTTTAAATTTTACACAATAAATTATTCACATTACTCATGAAATGAATTATTTCCAAAATAATTTAACTTCATCCGTCATCATCGGTACAGTTTAGCCATGTTGCATCGATGCCCGCATGTAGAATTCATGCATGTATCCTCAATCCTCAAGCAATAATCTCTTCTGCCATGCATTTCCTCGCCTTGATAACAATGTTGCTTGTGTCCTCACCATCCATCACCACATCACAACATTCACATCTGCCAATCTGATGACGTATATATACAAACCGACTTTTATTATGCACATTCTAATTTCACGTAATCCACATTTGAGTTTTACTTTTCATTTTGCACATTTCAATTTCACTTAATGCAAATTTCAGTTTTACCAAATGCATAATTCAATTTCACATAATACAATCCAACAGTCTAGATTCATTCTCATTTCTCTCCTAGCTAGGAGTCCTTTCTCATTGGAACAACTCCCTATAGGGTAAGGTTCAAGTGAGAAGAACCCTTTAGATGAGAAGTGAGAATGAATCTCAGCGATTGGATTCGACTAAGTTGCGGTAAAAGACACTACATGATGCACTGAAATATGCAATCCAGCACGGTGGCATTTCTGCAAATACTTCTGAAAAATCTATATTACACTTGTCTAGTGCAACATGAAGCTATTTCGGTGCAACGCCTTCAAATATTTGTGCAACATGAAACAGTTTTAGTGCAACATTGCAAAATTTAAATATTATTGCAACATAAAGGCATTTTTAGTGCAACTTCGTGAATCTAACGGCGGTTGAGATTCACGACGGTTGAGATTCATTCTCATTTCTCACATTGAATGCATTTCTCATTTGAACCACGCGTGCGCGCGCACACACAGTGAGAAAAATAGGCTAGATTTAATGCTTGAGTTTCATTCTCATTTCTCACATTATATTAAACTTGTTTCTCATAGTAGTAGTTGAAAAATATTTACAAAAAAAAAAAATATCAAAAAATTATTTATTTATTTACCAAGACATATATGTCCTAATAAACTTTTAATATGTTAAACATAACTTATAAAGCCAAATGCGTAACTTTTACAACTTTTTAAATTACTATGTAGTTCGTAGCCTAAGAACACTTCTCACCTGCTCCGCTCTCTCTCTCTCTCTCTCTCTCTCTCTCTCTCTCTCTCTCTCTCTCTTCTCTCTCTCTCTCTCTCTCTCTCTCTCTCTCGGGGTTAAAAAATACAAATTCATCTCATCCGTCCAAAATTACAAGATCAATGGGCCACTAACAACCAACCATTAGTGGGGGAAGTAATCCCTATTTTTTCCAACTCCACGTGGTTAGGCAATTTTGGAGAAACTTTAGGATCTTCCACATTAATACACGGTTAATCTCATTGAAATGGATGGTTAGGATGTAACACCCCGATTTTAAGAGCTAGCTATATTAGTCATTATTAATTTAGATTCAATTAAATGCATTATTTTAATAATAACGTGTATTATAATGTGTTATGATTTTTTGTGGGCTGATAGCGTTGACCGGTAAGCTTAATTTAATTCAAATTAAAGAAATAAATAAATAAATAAATAAATTATATCTATGTCATACATTTTGAAAGAGAGAATATAGTAATTTAGTCGGATCAAAAACATTTTTTTAGCAGACTTAAGCACTCAAATCTATTATCTTGGCCCGAATTAATATTTTGATTAAAAGCCCTAAAAAGGAGTATTAGATCCACGCCGTTTATTTCCCTTTCACCAACCATAGCCGCACAGTGCTTCTTCTCTCTCGATCGAATGAAAACCGTGTCCGATTCTTCAAATTCTCAACCAAGCATCAAATGAAGCACCTTAAATCTTTGCATTCTCACTCACGGCAATTCACACCCCTGTCCACTCACTTTCTCCCTTCATATTTGGCCTTTCACATATTGGGAGCAGGATTATCTTCCCTCTACCAGAAGATGCCGTTTCTCTCTCTTTGTGTCGCTTGTCCTTTGTTCCGGTGCCAAAGTTTAGTCTTCTGATCTTGTTTTATTATCAAGCTACTTCAGGTAACAATCGAAATATATTGTCTTAAATGGGTTCTGTTGGGGATCGATTCCGTCGCCGGATTCCGGCTCAGGCAGTCCGGACGTCGATTTTCCGGTTGTCTCTTGTGCACACCTAGGCTAAGGGAGCAACACACCTAACTAGCCTCGCCAACACTCACACTAACCTCTCCAAGAAGGACTCTCACCTCACAAAGAAGGATAATAGCTTCACTCACCAAGAGCAAGATGAAGGGGGAAACACTCTGAGTTTCACGCACTGAACAAAGGGGCAGGGAGTGTGTTTATAACAGGGAAGTATTTGGCTTTATTAGAAGGGCTCTCAAATAATACACTGCACACACAGCTCACCAATAGCTCAACAAGAGCTGAATTATTTTCTAACGGGAGGAGAAAATACTGATAGGCCAGATAGATAAATGGGTACAGTGTAGTGGGCTGCTAGAAAGTGTGTTGACCATTATTAATATACAAAAACGTTTGGGCCAACAATATATTAACAATCTCCACCTTTGGCCCAAGGTAGTGCACTTAGACAATCACGGAACCGCGGACTCATCATTGCCGGATCATTACAAGTACAATCACAAAGACAATACAAGTAATAGAGAGACACAAGTACTCTCGGGGTAAAATCACCAAGCTTACCGAGTCCATAAAGGACTTAACTCTACCATAAGGTCCTCGAGTTCAAAACCGAAACCATCACAATGATATTAACAAACACAAGGTATGTTAATAGCCCACGCAAGCAAGCATCCGGGAGAAGTTGGGGATCCCAACTAATCCAACAACCACACATAACAAGGACAAAGAAAATACCAGAAATAATATTATTTCTATAACTAGCACAGGCGGAGCTCACATAATCATAAGGTATCATATTTTCAAAACCCAAAGAAAATAGCATACCAAATATCACAAAGATTTTAATTAATAGAGAATTAAGCACATTTAAAGCAGACTCAGAGGAAATATAGTCAAACACATTGCACATATTATTTCTCACATGCTTCCTAATGTCTCTATCTCTAATAACATGGCAATCACGCAACTCAAGCATATTGCACACAACATTCATATCATGCTCCACCTTAATAGAAATATTATTTTCTTTATTTTCAACATGAAAAACATTTTCATTCACAAATTTGGGTTTGGTTTCAACAAGTAAATCGGAATGAACTTCAACAGGCAAATGATCCACCTCATTTGGAGCAACATCAGGAGAAACAAGCAGGCAAGGAAATTCATTTTCAACAAAAATGACATTTCTACTCATCAACACATTAAAGCAAGTTTCACTCCTACACCAAAGCCTATAACCTTTCATGCAATCATGATATCCTAAGAAAACATATTCCTTAGTCCTAGGTTCAGATTTATCATTCACACGATTCACGTAAGCAGTACAACCAAACACTCTCAAATTTGGCAAGTTAAGTGGTTTGCCCGTGAACACAGATTCAGGGCATTTCCCTCCTAAGGGAACAGACGGGGACAGATTAACCAAATCAACAGCACAACAAATAGCTTCCCCCCAGAACTTATTAGAGAGCCCAGATGAAGCTAACATAGCCCTCACCCTCTCTAATAAAGTTCTAACCATCCTCTCAGCAACCCCATCCGGTTGGGGTGTGGAGGGAACAGATTTATGCATAGAAATACCCCAAGTATCACATAAATCACCAAGCTGACTATCACAGAAATCAAAACTGACAGTGGTCCTTAAAAAATTAATTTTCTTACCGGTTTGTTTTTCAACAAGGATTTTCCAGTTTTTAAACTTATCAAAAACTTCAGATTTATTCTCAATCAACAAAACCCACACTTTCTTTGAAAAATCATCAATCAGTGTCAGAAAATAATTTTTCCCACCATGAGTGGAAACACCATAAGGACCCCACAAGTCAGCATGAATACAATCAAGTACATCAGTACACTTAGGTAGATCAGGAAAACCAACTCTAGACTGTTTTCCTAGCACACAGGGTTGCACACAATTCACATAATCAAGTACGGGTTCAGCATGACAAACATACAAGTTGTTTTTCATCTCAGCTTTGAAAACAACTAAACAACCCTTCACAACTTTCATGATTCCCTTTCCCCATTTTCCCTTCAAACCCTCATTTTCAAGAGAAGCACAAGATAGCAAATTACAACACAGCTCAGGAACATGCCTAACATTCTTCAAAGTAAGCACATAACCAGAAGAAAACCTAAGGCATACATCTCCTATTCCTAGCACATTGCATTTCTTCTCATTTGCTAAAGACACAAAGCCATGCTCAATCTCTCTATAGTTTGAAAAAACATTTTTCAAAGGGGACATATGAAAAGTACAACCAGAATCTACCACCCAATCTGATTTACCCAAAGAATCAGATATCACAGAACTCAAATAGTCATAATCACATAGATTTTTCATCATAAAAACATCACCTAAATCATCTTCACACGTAGTCAAATTAGCATGCTCACTATGCTCATTTTTCTTAGATTTAGGACAGTCTCTTATGAAATGACCAGATTCGTGACAATAATAGCAACGCCTCGAATTAGACCTAGACTTAGATCTATGTCGTCTACTATTATTATCTCTACCCCTCACATGCATAACTTCCTCGGATTTTCTACCCTCACCCATCTGTTTTAAATCTAATTCCTTACTCTTAAGACCATTTACTACAATGTCAAGAGTCACATTATCTCTACCATACTTAATAGCAGATTTCACATCACTAAAGGAATCAGGAATAGCATTTAAAAGAGCAATAGGGGAATAATCATCTATATGCTTATCACCACACAACTTAATATCCGAAATAAGTTTGGTAAAAACATCTAGATTTTCTTCAATATCTATAGACATATCTAGTCTAAATTTGAAGAATTTCTCAAGTAAAAATATCCGGTTAGGCAAAGAGGTCTCAGTATACAGTTCATTCAATTTATCCCACAGAATTTTAGCACTTTCTAAAATTCCAACTTTTCTAATCACAGAGTCAGATAAGTTCAAATAAATCACAGAACATGCATTTTCATTCATTTCAGCCCTTTTCTCTTCTGTGTCAGAAATTAAATAGGTTTCGCCAACTGCTTTAAAACACTTTTGTTGTATTAAAATACATTTAATTTTTTGCTTCCAAATGCTAAAATCAGATTTTCCATTAAATGGAGCCATACCATACTGATTATAAGCAGACATTTTCACAGAGAAAAATAAGCAACAAAAGAAAATGTAAATTTTCGCTGAAAATAATTTAAATATTTATAAGGCTACAACTATACGGAGCAACTAGCACAAACACCTGGGGAGTATTAATGAGCACCAAACTCAACTTCAAACCCCTTGTTCTTCCGTATAAGCACAAATAAATAATAAATTTTCAGCACAACACAATACAACAATTCAAACAATTTAAAAGCAATAATAAACCTAAAAATATAATTTCTACACAATAAAAGATTAAATCACTACAAAAGCGATAAAAGGGATAAAAGATAATATACCGGAGCGAAACCCTAGGAGAGGCGTTTCGACCTTACCCACCCAATTTAAAAATTGGGATTTTTCGGACCGTTGACTGCCTTTGATCGAGATTTGACCAGCTTTGACCGAGTTTGACCTGCTTCCAGCTTCCTGTCAGTGGCCTCCAACAGTGTAGCAGCCCAATAGCAATCCAGCTGTCCAAAACCACCAGCCCACTCCAGTTTTGTTCAGTAACCCAGCTGTCCACAAGCAACCCAGCGGCTTACAAGCAACCCAGCACAAATCCAACGAAGCAGACTCCTTAGCTTTGACTTCTGTAGCGCAGCAGCTGTACCAGGGCCCAGCTTCGCCTCTGTCCTCTGCTTTCTGTATCCAGCAACGAACATAAATTGAAAGTAAGTGACAAACTCTTCAATCTCCTAATCCTTGCATTCCTTCTACGCGAGAAAGCTGCGCAAGATTCACGCGACGTCCAGGCATTCGACTTCAACCTTCGACCTCAGCGTCCGATCTCCAAGCGTCAAGCCCCTGACTCCAGACTCACGAACAGGCTTCGGATCTGAAAACCCAGGCCTCACTCTCTGGCAAAGAACGAGCTCAGCAAACTGGCAACGAACGACAAGCTCTTTCCGGCGACGATTCACAGCGACGGCTTCTCAGAGTGGCGAACGGTGAACTCCAGCGACTTCGAACGACCAGCAACCCGCAGCGACAGAGGCGGCTCCAGCCACGAGCCAATCTGCGGATGAGAACTCCCTGCGGCGGCCACCTGCAGCGACCAACGAATCGACGGCGAGAACTCGACTCTTATCTTCAGAGCCAGTCCTTCTGGTCCCAGCGACGAACAAATCGGCGAGCAACGATATCTCTGCGGCGGCACCCTCCGGCGGTTTCCGGTGATTTAAGCAGCAACCGGCTTCCAATTTCAAGCTCCAGGGACAGCAGGAAGCCTTCGGTGACCTTGAATTGACGGCGGACGGCGGCTGGCGGCGGCGGAGACTTTCCAGACGGCGGAATCGACGACGAAGACAACCCTAGGCTCTGATACCACTGTTGGGGATCGATTCCGTCGCCGGATTCCGGCTCAGGCAGTCCGGACGTCGGTTTTCCGGTTGTCTCTTGTGCACACCTAGGCTAAGGGAGCAACACACCTAACTAGCCTCGCCAACACTCACACTAACCTCTCCAAGAAGGACTCTCACCTCACAAAGAAGGATAATAGCTTCACTCACCAAGAGCAAGATGAAGGGGGAAACACTCTGAGTTTCACGCACTGAACAAAGGGGCAGGGAGTGTGTTTATAACAGGGAAGTATTTGGCTTTATTAGAAGGGCTCTCAAATAATACACTGCACACACAGCTCACCAATAGCTCAACAAGAGCTGAATTATTTTCTAACGGGAGGAGAAAATACTGATAGGCCAGATAGATAAATGGGTACAGTGTAGTGGGCTGCTAGAAAGTGTGTTGACCATTATTAATATACAAAAACGTTTGGGCCAACAATATATTAACAGGTTCTCGTCTTAAATTATCTCACTTTTCTTTTCACTCGTAGAGAAAGATGTTAAGAGCAACCTGTTGCTTTGCCGTGAGGTGATCGACCCAAATTCTCTTTTATATTAACCCTAAGACTATGTTCTGAAATAATAAATCCCAATCCGACTTTGATTATCCATTGTGGATAGCTATTCCAAATTCTGCAAGTGTTATACGTAAAGTTTTAGTTCAAATTTATTATCTCCAGTGTTTCTTTTTAATCCTTGGCAAATCAGATTACTATATTTTCAGTGGATCAATTGTTTATAGATTTATAATGGTTTGGGATTAGTATAGAGCTAAATCCTTACGAGTGTTGTGCTAGTTTTAGGTGATAAAGTTGTGTTTCGGTTAAAAACAACAAAGTTAGACAGCTATTTTCCAAATGACACTAATTCTGATTATAATAGCAAAAGACCATCGAATCGATCATTTGGCGGGCACAAAGCAGCAGAAAAATCGAGTTTCAATATTAGAGTTTTGGTTCACAACCGGTTTCAGTTTTTGCGTATAGGGTAATGAGTTTTAATTGTAATATTTTATTTAATTAAAGATTAAGAGAAGAGCTTACCGGAATACGTTATCAAGGTGCCACGATTATCTGAATATTTTGAGTTCAGCTGCTACCAGGTAAGTTCACTACCACCTGTACATGGTTGTTCAACCAAATGAAAGAAAGAAGTCTTGTTGATTTTTAATAGATAATTTTAGACTAGGTGAACTAGGTGAATTCTGTGATGAGTTATTTTATTTGTTGTATTAAGTTATGATTATTATCTGGCATAGTCAAGAGTTTGTTAGTACTTTTATTTTCAGGTTTGATGATGTTTTTTTAATCAAACGTCACCATAAAAAGAACTAATATTTAAAGTGAAAGATAAGGTGATATGTACTCGGGAACAAGTTCCCTCAGATTAGCAGTTTTCAGTTTCAGATAGTCCGACATGTTTAGTGGGTAGCTCCCCTGAGCTGTCGGATTGGCGCCTTTGAGTACATATCACGGGCCCACAGTTAAAATTAGCCACAAAGAGTTTTACAGAATGTTTAATGAGATCTTTTCCAGAAAGATTTACAGAAGTTGTTTTTGAGATCTCTTTCAGAAAGTTTTACAGAGATGTTTAGAGAAAGAAATTTTGAGATCTCTCCAGCAGTTTTGAGAAATTATCTTAAAAAATATTTTCCTTTTGAGATGTCCCTCAGAATGTATTTGAGAAGTTATGTGTTAGTTATTTGTTCAGTGCATGCTTATAGGCTAAATTTATCTATTGATAAATTGGCATAGACTTCTAGATGATTTTTGTGGATTCATAGTGACTTACTAAGCGTAAAGCTTATCAGTTTCTTTCTTCGCATGTACAGATACTAAAGGTAAGACCAAGGCCTAGGAAGACGATGAGAGAGTGGAACGCGTGCCAATATGAGTTAACGGGAACGACCTTGGCGGCGTCTAGCTAGCTATTATTTTGTTTTAGTATTTCAGTTGTTATAATAAAGAGATTATTATTTACTTTATTTTATTAAAAGTTTGAAGTTTGAATAAATTCCTGGATCCAGGTGGTTATCACATTTGCTGGTGATAACTAGAATTTTATTGAGTTTTATTTGGAGTTATATTTTAGTTATATTTGAGATTTTATCAGGGTTATTTCTTAAACATACGGCCGTTATATTGCAATTTATTTTTAAAAGTAGTAAGCTAGTGTAACGTTTCCTTTAACCCTGAGAGGAGCGTTACATAGGATTAATTTGTACTTGGTAAATTAAGATGACTTTGTATGTGATCCATAAAGGGAAAGTGTAACAAACTTTTAAATACATCTCAAAAGGGAAAATATAGCAAATTTTAGAATACAGAGACACAGTATAACTAGTTTTATTGTAGATATTTAATATACCTGTGAAAGCAAAGGAGTTGTTGGAGCATTCGAGTTTGGTCGAGACTTGCAACATTCATGAGATGGCGGACTGATTGGGCCCTATCCATTGATGGGAAGATCGGCTTCACATAGTCGAAATCGCAATGGTGGAGTGATATTAGGCTGATTGCAATGGAGGAGTGAAAACCCAAATGTGAGGTTTTCACCTCAAAAACTACTGCAACCCAAACTTTTTTTTGTATAGGGAGATCTCATTCAGAATAGGGGAAACTGATGGGAGGAATTTCTAGGCGGTGCATTGACTCCCTACTTGGAGCTGACATACGCAGTCAGTGGCGGAACCAGAGCGAAAATAAAGGGGTGGCTAAAAGTATTAAAAAATGCAAAAAAAATGTTATTAAAGTTACAAAATATAAAATTGGTTTGAAAGTACATTACATTACAATTAAATATTTTCAACTTTGAATTCTTAAAGAGTTAAAGAAATTAATCAATGCAAATTTAAAGCAACTAAATTCTTGCAAAAACAATTTCAACTTCGTACCAATTCAAGCAATTAATTTATTAAACTTTGAAGAAATTAAAGTAATTAATCATAAACTTGGAACAGAATTTGAACTTCAAAGCAATTGATCAATTCAATATTAAATTCAATGAGTAATTAAAAGCTTAAAGTAGAATACGAAATAAGCAATTACAGACATAGAGTCAGATTTCAATGTTAAAGTACTAAGTTACTTACCAAACCGTCCAATACTCCAATTTCGAAAGCGAGGAGTAGACACGCTCTGATGCATATGCGAGAGCGGAGCCGCGAGGGATCGGACTGATTTCGGACTCTAGAGTTCAGAGAGACAGAGAGTGCGACTGTGAGACGGAGGATGGACTGACGGAGAGTTGAGACGTGAGGGCGGCCACCGACGACCGGCGAGGCGGGATTGCGGACTCTGGAAATCTGGATATTCCGGACCAGTTAACTTGCAAAAATCATTTGACGACCTTCCCAATTGAATTTTGAGCTGAAATTTGGTATGGACAAACTAGACTTGATGAAGAACATGCTCAAAAAATTTCATCAAAAAATTCCACCGGGAAGGTGCCCAAACGGGCTCGACCGGACGGGGCAGCCCGTCAGGCCGGCCTGATGAGAAGAGCTCTCATATATATCCTATGAGACATATATCAATGTAAATTAGGGATAAGTAGTCATTCGATCTACAATTTTAATCTTCCGCACAAGCTCTGTGTAGGTCATTCATTCGTTAATCAAGTTTGATTTATTGAACTCATCTATCATTCAAAACGTATAGTATAGTACTAAACTACTAACTAACATACGTACCTGATGAAAACCAGGGTGAGGAGAGAAATTGACACCAAGATCTATCGGCAATAATGCAAAAGGAAGTATGTAGTCTTATCGGCACTGTTGAGGTTTCGAGACATGAAGGCGTGAGCGAGGGGATAGCTGAGGACGATGCCGCCCCTTCCGAAAGCCTGCTGGAAGGAGAACCAGTACGTAATTGGCCGGAGAGGAGGAACTCCGACGTAGTACATCTCGGTGTGGCTCACCAGATTATCCACCATCAACACCGTGTCGTCCTCGCCCATCACCACCCACCGCACCTCCGGCCTGCTCTCTCGCCGCCGCATCTCTCACTGTCTCCATTATCCCGTGCACCATCCTCGCCACCCTCTCATTTCCGTGTTTCGTCTCTTCTACTATCCCTTTCACGTTTTCAGACACCCTGTGTGTACACATATATATAGAGAAAACTTCATGTCCAGCTGGCCTGACGGGAACCGCGGTCCGGCTGAGGGCATTTCGGGCACTTCCCGGTGGATTTTTTTGATGAAATGTTTTGAGCGTGTTCTTCATGAAGTCTAATTTATCCATACCAAATTTCAGCTAATAATTCAATCAGGAAGGCACTCAAACAATTTCTTGAAGTTAACTGGGCAGTTCATACATATAAACTGCCCATTTAACTTCAAGAAATTATTTGAGTGCCTTCCCGATTGAATTTTTAGCTGAAATTTGGTATGAATAAACTAGACTTCATGAAGAACATGCTCAAAAAAATTCATCACCGAGAATTTCCCAAAATGCCCTCGGCCGGACGGAGCATCCTGTTAGGCCGGCTGCTCAGGTCTAGCCGGAGGGACGGGAGCAGCCGTCCGAACTTCACAGTTTGGGACGGTTCCCGGTGGAATTATTCGATGAAATTTTTTGAGCATGTTCCTCATCAAGTCTAGTTTGTCCATACCAAATTTCAGCTCAAAATTCGACCGGGAAGATAGTCAAATAAATTCTTGAAGCTTACTACACATTCTGTGCATATATAAAGTGCAGTAAGTTTATATATGGTTATATAGAGTAGTCTTCCGGTCAGGTATACCTGACCGGAGCCCCGTCCGGCCTCCTCCATTTGGGGGCCTTCCCGGTGGTATTTTTTGCTCAAATTTTTTGTGTAGGTTCCTCATCAAGTCTAGTTCATCCATTCCAAATTTCAGCCAAAAATTCAATCGGGAAGGTCGTCAAATGATTTTTGCAAGTTAACTGGTCCGGAAAATACATATTCCGGACCAGTTAACTTGCAAAAATCATTTGACAACCTTCCCGATTGAATTTTTTTCTGAAATTTGGTATGGATGAACTAGACTTGATGAGGAACCTACACAAAAAATTTGAGCAAAAAATACCATCGGGAAGGCCCCCAAATGGAGGAGGCCGGACGGAGGGAGTGGTCCGGCCTGGCCGGACCTGAACTTTAGTGTGGTTATATATATATATATATATATATATATATATATATATATGCACTTATATATATATATATATATATATATATATATATATATATATATATATATACACACATAGGGAGCGGTTCCGGTGAGAAAGGGCTCCCAGGAGAGAAATGAGAATGAATTTGGACCGTTGGATAGTATTATGTGAAACCGAATTGTGCATTTGATGAAACTGAAATGTGCATAAAGTTAAATTGAAATGTGCAAAAAAAAGTTAAAATTCAAATGTGCATTAAGTGAAATCAAAATGTGCAAAAAAAAAGTCACAAAAATGTTTTGCACGTTTCAGTTTTACCTAATGCACATTTCACTTTCACCTAATGCACAATTTAGCTTCACATGATGTCATTTTACCCTACCTTTTGTGCTGCACATTTTGACTTCATCTAATGCACATTTCAGTTTTAATTAATGCATATTCAATTTTACAGAATTCAATCTAACGGTCCAGATTCATTCTCACTTCTCTCCTAAGATCACTTTCTCATTTGAACCTAATTCTATATATATATATATATATATATATATATATATATATATATATATATATATATATATATATATACTAGTATCTTTACCCGTGCCGTGCATGGGATAACATAATTTTGTTGTTTAGTTTTACTAACGGGAAATCACTTATTTAATCGATTATAACATTGGTCTAAAATGCATATTCTAATTTACTGAGTATGCCTTATTTTTGAACTAATTATCTAAACATGTTTGCGGTCTAAACCTAGTAACACACAGTTGCATCGAATTGAAATTGATATATTTTTACTTAAACAAAAAGAAAATGCTTAATGCCTATTTTTATCCATTAAATTTCATTGGTGACTTGCTATTTTTTGTAAACTAACTACACATTTTTGTAATTTATTTATCTAAAAATGGGTGTTATCAATTTTTCTTAAGATATTAGTCCTAAGTTTTAGAAATTTTCAATTTAGTCTTTTGATCTCTTTCTTTAAGAAATGAGTTTAGAATATATATTTTGTGACATTCCGATTTTAATGAAGCCGATGACGGAAATAATAGCTAGGGTGCATATTGTGATTGACAGCGAACAATTTATTTTCTATTAGATTGAGTTATTATATTGAAGCTATATATGATTTTATTAAGTAAAATAGTGTTATTGAACGAAGAAAGGTTGAATGATTTAGACTTTTAGACAATTTTTACCTAGAAGGTCAGATGAATAAAACCTATAAAAAAGATTCTCATCAATTTTATTAACTCAATCTAACTCATTATATTACTCCCTCCGTCCCAATTTGATGATACCATTGCGGTTTATGATGTTTGACTGACGATAAATCAAACGGGTCTCTGTCCGCACCCAAATTATATTTAGAAATTTACTTATTCAAAAACTACATTACAAGCTTTACAAAGTCACAAACACTTGAATCAAATTTGATAAAAAAATTGATATATAAAGTAAGAGATTAAGAGTGGTTTGTGTTGACCATGTGAATAAGAATTGGTACCATCGAATTGGGATAGAGGTAGTAATATATACACTGAAGCAAGTAAAAATAACATTTACTTTCATAAATGAGATAAAAAAAATTGATTCCAATTGAAAAATCCTTAATTAGAAAGGTGAACATAAATTTGAGATAGCATTAACACAAATTTATATTTAGAAAATTCTTATACGTGCAGCCTTGTTGTATATTTTGTTTTTTCTCACTTTCATTTTATGATGTTTTGCTATTTTTTCATTTAGGAAGGAAGTTATTAGATTTTCTTTAAAACAATTTCATTGAAATTATTTGGGGGTTCTTAACTTTTTTTGTTTAGTTATATTTCACTTTCATTTCCGTTTAGTGCTTGTAGTTATTATATTGAATTACATGATATTTCAGCTCTAGACGATATTTTCTTCACACCAGGGGTGGATGTACATCCAGCATAGGGGGGCAGCGGCCCCCAATAAAGGTCTAATAATCTCATATGCTTGTGTTAAA